ATGCTAACGCAGAAGAAATCCCCACATTTTATCCATGGCTGCAGAGAGATCTGTTTAGGGCACAAGACTCCGTCTTGAACGACTTTTAACACGGTTGTCACACTCGTTTTGTTGGCTGGTTAACAGAGCACTTTTTCAAAGTCACAGAAAGCAGACTAAACCAGAGGTGAGGACAGAGAAGGATCCCCTTCACCAAGCCTTCAAAATCAACCTGTGAAGCCTTAAACTGCAAAGCTTTCTCTGTAAATATAGGGTGTGTCTGTGGTAAGCATTTGTCTACAAGCTTTGTCCTTTATCATCTTGCACTTCATTTAAAGAACTGCAGGGGTGGAAATCAGCCACACTACAGATGAACCAAAGAACCTGAAAGGCAGCTGAGAAAGCAGCCTTGCTAGGCGCATCACAGGTTCGACTCCTGTGTCTTAAAATGCTATACAAGTGAGTTAACTCTTTTGCATCCAAGCAGCACAGGCTAGTGAGCCATTTCCCTCTGCAAGTGATTTACACTACACGAATGGGTGTGTTTCGGTGTGTAGGAGGAGAAGGGCATGAATGAGCTGGTGCCTCAGCTACGGGAACCTGCCTACGTGAAGCAGAGACCTGCCTGCATGGACTCCTTTCTCCAGCTTGTGAAACCAAGTCACCGAGCACTCCCCCGCGCAGTGAAATGCCCTGGGCATCATGTGCTGTTCGGACGAGCCTACCTTAAAAGTTGTAGGCAAGAAACAAGAACCACAGACTGACTCCAAATGGAATTCTTAAGAAGGACTATCTGCAGAATCGAAAACGCCACTCAATTTACTTCTTCCTTCAGGATGAAAGACATAGTAAACTAAAAAGGGGAAGTGCTATTTACAGTCTGTCCGCTGCACTGTGCTCCGTCTTCTAAACACAGTCGTGATGACAGCTGCCCTAAAAATAGGCAGAAATCCCACTGGAGGAAGCTGACACATGCTGAAGTGACAGACACGTGGAAGTCCCAGAGGGTGTGAAGGGATTATACAAGTAAGCTGGTGACACAAAAAGATTTACAAACTGATGTCACAGAAAGCCAAATAGATAAGATGTATCAGAGAAGCTGATTGCAGCCATATGGCTTAAGCCAACTGTCCTTAAAGATAAGAATTTAAATGATGAGAACGGATCTCTGTGGTCAGAACAATAGTTATCACCTCTTTCTGAAGCACAGGCAAAATACATCCCAAACGAGTGTTGTGTTCCCTGAACACAAGGGTCCCACCCCACCTCTCCTTAAACACTCCCTCCTCCTCCCAAATCACTGTGACAAAGCACGCAAGTGCTGAGACACACAGAAACATCTGCATTAGTGTTTTAGCTCTGATGAGCGTGCTTTGGAAAGAAATCTCCTAATTACCCCAATTACTGTGCTCTGTTTCATCAGGGAGTGATACCAGAGATTAATACTATGTGGATTCCTCTTCGATGAAAGTGCCGCGCAGCTTAATGCAGGATGGCCGTAAACTGGGCAGCAGGCTCCAGGTCCAGGGTGAGAAGTCCCCGAGACCCACCACCCACCACTTTGCTGCACAGAGCTGCTCCCCTCGGCCGCGACACAGGCAGGGCCGCAAGGGACTCGCCTACAAAGAGGAGCTTCGCACCGACGGCGTGTTCTGGCGGTCCTCCATGAAGGCAGCCTGCTCGGCTCCCAGCACAGTCACCCACTTCCAACGGGGTGCACACTGGGAGAGGGGCAAAGCAGTTTTCACACGTGTAAGAGCAGACGACAGCAGGACTTTCAGACACGCATCTTTACATTTACTCCCAAACGCGGTCGCTTCTATTATGTGCCGCAGAATTATTTTATTGCATTTAAATGGTCTTTTCACTTTCCCTAGTGAAAAAAAAACCTCTAGAACAAGATAACATGTCTTTTGACTTTTTTTTTTGTTTCATCTGGGCAAAACACAGATGCTTTTGTTATGTGCTGCAGAATTATCTTATTGCATTTAAGTGGTCTTCTGGTTTGGCTTTTTTTTTTTTTTTCTCCTTTTCCCCAGAGAAAAAATTCGTGGATAAACTCACATGCATTTTGACTTTTTTTTTTTTTTTTTTCTTTTCACCTGCCCTCATTTCACTCAAATAACGAAATCGCCCGTTATGGATTTCCCTTTTATAGGCCATATCCCACAATGTCCAAAAAATATGACTGGACACTGTTTTTCTAAATATTGACACAATTAAACGGACCCTCGACCATCCAAAACACGCTGAAAGTACAGGTGCTGCAACGCTGCCGAAAAACATGAGGAGCACATTAAACACACAGTTAATGAACAAATGCTTCAGATGGGCGACACGCAGAAACCACCTCACAACGCCACTTACTGACCACAGAAACGCTTCTCCCTAAAAACGACAACGAGTTTCTCCTCCAAACGCCACTTTTCCAGGTAAAAGCTTGCTGACTGAGCGACTATTTTTGTTCCAGGCCTTCTGAGGAGCTAAAGGCCGGCAGCGCGCCCCTCATGAGGGGTAAACCCCCGCGGGC